GGGTGAAACCATGGAGGAAGCTGTGCAATGCCAGTCACCAGCCAAAATTAGGGATCTTTATGCAACTCTCATATCATCTTGCGGGCTATCTAATGCACATGAATTGTGGGACAAATATAAAGAGTACATGGCACAAGCATACTACGATATACCAGCTTTGCAGCAGCAAGTAGCTGAATTTGTACCCCGCTTGCTTCCCGAACAAAAACGAGATTTTGACAAAGAATTAGGACAAATTGAATCTGGAAATGGTGCACTTTTCTTTTTAGATGCCCCTGGAGGAAATGGGAAGAAATTTTTGTTAACTTTATTATTAGCGCAAGTACGGAAAGATAAAAACATTGCTGTGGCCGCAGCTTCCTGCGGCACAGCCGCCACGCTGCTAAGCGGGGGCCGCAATGCACATTCTGTTTTAAAACTCCCTCTAAATCTAGCCCAGGAAGAATCGATCTGCGACTTTAGCAAAAATAGTGCACGACGTATAATGCTACGACAATGCAAACTTTCAGTATGGGACGAAAGTACAATGTCGCATAAAAAAGCTGTAGAAGCACTAAATCGAACACTCCAGGATTTGCGCAGCAATACCGATGTAATGGCAGGAATGGTGGTTTTACTGGCCTGCCAGTGACTTTCGTCAAACTTTACCTGTCATTAAAAAGGTTACACCTACAGATTAAATTAAAGCATGACTCAAGTGGTCTATTTTATGGAACAAGGTGACAAAATTCAGTTCAACTACGAATATGAGAGTGCATTAGTATAATGATATCAATGCTGGAAACTATGCTGACACACTATTAAAAATTGGCGATGGGTGGTTGGAAACGGATGCTGAGGGCTGCGTTAAATTGACGAGAGGTTTTAGTATTTTAGTACAGAGTCATTCCGAATTAATTGCGAGCGTTTATTCAGATTTAATGAACAACATGCATGAAGACAAATGGTTGTGTGAAAGAGCGATGCTTGGACCAAAAAATGAGAGCGTTAACAAAATAAATTCAGATATATTAAGCGAAGTAGCAGGAGAAATAACAAAGTATTTGTCAATAGACACAGTTATGGACACAGAACAGAGCATTTCATATCCCGCAGAGTTTCTAAATACTCTAGAGTTGTCAGGTATGCCCTCATATAAGCATCAATTAAAATAAGACGTCCCAGTCATGCTAATGCGAAATTCAGATGCTCCTCGGTTATGTAACTGGACAAGGCTGCGTATGACACATCTTGGAAGGAACATAATCGGTGCTAAAATTTTTACAGGCGTAGGTGAAAAGGTGAAAATGTTATTATACCACGGATCTCTATAATTCCCACAGATCGTCCTTTTCAATTCAAAAGGTTGCAGTTCCCTATTAAGCTCAGTTTTGCAATGACAATTAATAAAGCGCAAGGGCAAACGTTACAGGTAGCGGGGGTCAACTTAGAAAAACCGTGCTTCTCTCATGGTCAGCTGTATGTAGCATGTTCACGTGTGTCAAATGCCAAGAATCTCCACATTCTTTCTCCACATTGTGTACAGTAGCGTCTTAAAATAGTGTTCAGTTTTTTTTTTTTCAAAATTCCCACAATCAATTAATCAGAATTCCCACAGATCTTCCCTTTCAATTCAAAATTTCCTTTTTAGCTCAGTTTCTTTTCAATTCCAAATGCTGCACCTCTGACGGACCTATTAATCTCAGTTTCCTTTCAACTCAAAAGGCTGCATCTCTGACGGATATTTTATTTGGCTCAGTTTCCTTTCAATTCAGAAAACTGCATTTCTGACAAATCAATTTAGCTCAGTTTCTTTTCAAAAGTCTACATCCCTGACGCATAATTATGCTCAGTTTCCTTTAATTAAAACAATATCCACTTTCCATTTGGAATAAACAGGCTATTTTCATGCTTTCCTATACACTGCGTTTCAAAACATTTAAATAGGCTGACGAATCAATTTTGCTCAGTTTCCTTTTAATGGCTGCATCTCTGACAAATCTATAAAACTCAGTTTTCTTTCAATTCAAAAAGCAACGGATAGTTCATTTCCCAGTGACCATGCGGGCGAAGCCGCGGGTAACAGCTGGTTTTAAATTATAATGGAGGATACATGTAGATGATGGGGCTATGAGACCATGGGCCACAGAATCCCCTTATGATCAGTTGGACTGTATGTTCGTTTGTTTCCTTTTATATATTTATTCAGCCCAATCAGATGAGAATACACTACAAGTACCCCAAAATAATAATAATTAATTAATTTCCCCTAACCCTCGGCCATTTGGCTCCCCTGCCTCATGCCTCTAATCCCGTATCCCGTATCCCGTGGGCTTCTATCTTGGGCTTTTATTTATTTAGGTATTTTTATGTATTTATTTTACTTTATTGATATTTATGTATATTTACCATTTTCGTAAACAATTATATATTTATGAAACCCAACCAGATGAGAAAACCATATATATACCCCAAAAATAATAATAAAGCATAATCGTGAAGTGTGCAGCCTTAGTAATTACTTTCGGGTAAGTTCGGATGATCCAATGTATAAAGACGTCATTTCTTGTGATAAAGCACTTACCCCTGTATCCTTAGGCAACGAGGAATTGCAGGACCCGGCAGAACATAGTATTGCCTAACGGAAGACCGTATGGAAGAAGAAGGAGTTCCACGGGAGATTCTACAAGGTTCTACATGAGCCTCTCGTAGACACAGTAGCCTCCCTCTATCGGCTACGCTTTGTTGTATTCTTCGGGGAAACCGAAAATTTTGTCTGTGCAATACAGGATGAGGTTTTTAAAGCCAAAAGTTATCGGAGATACATACTAAAGGATGGCACCGTCGACGTCTGAGAAGCTTGTCGCCATCCCGGTGGGTCACTTAGGCATGTCATGGTTGTATGGCCTTTTGTAACTCTGAGTACTTGCATAGACACAACCAAGTAGTCAAGAATTTACACCAGGAGGAGCTCGCTCTGAAATACGATCCTGTGAATCGGATACTGCCTTATTATGGCAGTATGCCATATTATAAGAACTTGCCGGAAGCCGTGCTAGAAAATGACCAGGCCCGGTCCATCGTCACAGACAGGACCATTCTTGCGAATAAGCATGACATTGCGCTAATAGACCGGGCACAGTTAAGGATATTTTGGTCAACATTACCATTACGTCTGACGAGAACCTCGTGAAAACCGAGAAAGATAAGAATACGAAATATCTGGACCTAGCTCACGAAGTGGCCGACATGTGGGGTGGTCTGCCGACTGAAATTATTCGTTTATTCATCTCCGCGAATTGGCTAACCCTTGTCAGCATCTGGAGTCATCTGAGGTGACTGAGACTCCGTGACGCACCGTTCCGGGCTCAAATTTAGACGGCGGTGCTCTTCGATACCACTAGCATCGTCCGACAGTTTCTTTTCCGTTCCCCCTCACCCTCGGTCTTTTGGTTTCTCATGCCTGATGCTTCCATTTGGCATGGCTTTTATTTACTTATGCATTACTTATTTATCTATGTTATATTAATTATTTTTTTTATAAATTATTTCAGCTTAACCAGATTAGGATACTTTATAAATATCCCTTTAATAATAATAATAATAATAATAAATCCATTCTATAATGACGTCATTTCTAGTGAAAAAGGACTTACCCTCTATCCTTAGCCAACAAGCAATGGCAAGACCCGGCAGTACAGAGTATTTCCGACCGGGAGACAGTATGGAAGGAGAAGGAGCTCCACGGGAGGTACTACAGGGCTCTACATGAGCCTCACGTAGATACAGTCGCCTCCCTCAACTGGCTACGTTTCGGTGACCTCTTCGGGGAAACCGAGGGTTTTGTCTGTGCAATACAGGATCAGGTTATTAAGACCAATAACTATCGGAGATACATCCTAAAGGATGGCACTGTCGACGTCTTTCGAGCTTGTCGCCATCCCGGGGAGTCTCTTAGGCATGTAATCTCCGGTTGTTCGGCGCTTTCTAACTCTGAGTACAAGTCACACATCACAGTCAGGGATATTTTTGATCGACATTACCATTCCGTATGACGAGAACCTCGTGAAAGCCGAAACAGAAAAACGAACAAAATATCTGGACCTGGCTCACGAGGTGACCGACATGTGTGGTGGTATGCTGACTGAAATTATTCCTGTAGTTGTCTCTGCGAATGGGCAAATCCCAGTCAGCCTCTCGGGTCATGTCATGGGGTCGGGACTGGGACTCCGTGACGGACCGCTCCAGGCTCAAATGCAGAAGGCGGTGCTCCTCGATACCGCCCGCATCGTCCGCCGGTTTCTTTCCCTTTCCCCCTAACCCTCGGCCGTTTGGTCTCCCCTGCCGAGGGCTCCCATCTGATTGGATCTTATTTATTTTTGTAGTTTTTGTATTTATTTTATTTTATTGATATTTGTGTATATTTATCTTCTCATTTTAATTTATAATTATATATTTATAGAACCCAACCAGATGAGAAAATTATATAGATACCCCAATTATAATAATAATAATAAGGTGACAGACATGTGGGGTGGTATGCCGACCGAAATTATTCCTGTAGTCGTCTCTGCGAATGGGCTAATCCCAGTCAGCCTCTCGGGTCATCTGAGGCGACTGGGACTCCATGACGGACCGCTCCGGGCTCAAATGCAGAAGGCGGTGCTCCTCGATACCGCCCGCATCGTCGGCCGGTTTCTTCCCCTTTCCTCCTAACCCTCGGCCGTTTGGTCTCCCCTGCCGAGGGCTCCCATCTGGTTGGATCTTATTTATTTATGTAGTTTTGTATTTATTTTATTTTATTGATATTTATGTACATTTATCTTTTCATTTTAATTTATAATTATATATTTATAGAACCCAACCAGGTGAGAAAATTATATAGATACCCCAAAATAATAATAATAATATGCGCACTTGGCTTAGGCCCGTGAACATCTCTTAAAAACCAAGATTTTACAAAATCTTGAGAAAGAAAAAAAGAATACCAAAATAATAATAATAAATGAGATCTGAACGCAATGCTGGTTACCTATTTGGAAGCCAGCCGGGACCTTTGCGAGACGGACTCAATTCTTTTTGGCGCCGCACTGGCAGTCTGCCGTATTATAAGCGCCAAAGTTTCCACGGCTGGACGCGTTACTGGACAAAGTAGTGCTATCCCAGCCTGGAGAATAAGAATTGAAGAAAGTATCGCAAAGGCTAGGGCCCTCATCGGCAGACTGATATGCTTCAAGTCAGGCAATACCAGGCCAAGGATTGTGCGCACCGTCAGGATGGCGTTTGCTGGGACAAATGTTAGTTTGTCCCAGCCGGATATAATGCAAAAACTGGCGGAGCTCATAGACGACCTGAAGTAAAGAATCGCTGCTTGGGGAATGCGGATTCGGTGATATACCGAGAGGTCGACACGGTTCAACCCCAGAATCGTCTCTTCCAGAGTGATCAGAAGAGGCTCTATAAATCATTGGAGCGACCAATAATAAGTGGAACGGGCCCAGCACCAAATCAGGCCGACAATGTCGCATTCTGGCGCAGCCCGTGATCAGAGCCCGTAAATCGCAAAGAGGGCCCTTGGACGGAAGTTGTGGCGAGTCAGTGTGCGGGTATTACGCCCATGGACCCCGTCATCATATCGCCGGAAGACGTAGCTGAGGCGGTCCGTAGGGCCCCGAACTGGAAAAGTCCGGAGCTTGACGGGCTGCATCACTACTGGCTGATGGGGTTCAAGGTGTATCACGCTGTGCTCGCCCGACAGTTTCAAGAGGCTCTCAACCAGAAGTCGCTCCCAAGCCTCTTCACTACTGGGTTCACTCATTTGGTTCTTAAAGATCAGGGTGCCACAGACCCGAGGAAATACCGCCCCATCAAGTGTCTACCGACCATATACTAGACACTAACATCCATTTTGAGCGTGAGAATCGTTCGTCACCTGGACTCAAATCAGGTGGTGTCGCGCGCTCGAAATGGATGTCGGTGCGGCAGTCGTGGAACCAAGGAACTACTCCTCATTGACGCGGTCATTGGCAAAGTGGTGAAACTCAACCGTCGGTACTTCTCCGCCGCCTGGATAGATTACAGAAAGGCATTTGACTCGGTGCCCCATACATGGCTAAAAAGGGTTCTCGAGCTGTACAAGATTGACTGTACAGTTCGAGAATTCCTCAAGCAGTGTATGGGGCAGTGGAGTACGATCCTCTGTAATCTAGGCGAGCGGATGACGGCTGCGGAAAGCCGCATAAGGATAAGAAGGGGTATATTCCAGGGCGACTGTCTGAGTCCAATCTGGTTCTGCCTCTCTTTGAACCCTCTCAGTACTTTACTGGAGGGGATTTCAGCTTCGAAAAGGAGGTACAAAAGTGACCCATCTTTTCTATATGGATGACCTCAAATTATTCGCTTCCAGTCGCTTCCAGTCGCTGCCATCTTATGGAATTGCTAAACATCACTTGTGAATTTAGCAATTCTATCAGAATGGAGCTGGGGATGGATAAGTGTGCGGTCCTCCATGTTGAAAGGGGAAGGGTTGCTAACTCTGAGGGCATAGACTTATCTATCTCCGTCAACTTAAGGGCCCTTTCCGAGGCTGAAACATACCGATACCTGGGTATGTCACAGAACATCGGTATCGATGAGGCTGGTATGAAACAGTCAGTTTGCGACGTGTTTTATGCACGCTTGACCAAATTGCTTAACGGCGTTTTGTCCGGTGTGAATAAGACACATGCATATAACGGTTGGGTCATGCCTGTCCTCATGTATACCTTTGGCATACTCAGGTGGAGTCAGACTGAACTTAACGCCCTGGATAGGAAAGTCCGCACTACAATGACGTCCCATAGGATGCATGTCAGTAATGAGGCTGTACTTGCCGCGAAAGCATGGTGGGCGTGGCTTCCTGAGCGCGCTCACCATGCATAATCGCGAAATGTGCAGCCTCCGTCATTACTTCCTGGCGAGATCGGATGATCCATTCTATAATGACGTTATTTCTAGTGATAAAGGGCTTACCCATCTATCCTTAGCCAACGAGCAATGGCAAGACCCGGCAGCACAGAGCATTTCCGACCGGGAGACCGTATGGAAGGAGAAGGAGCTCCACGGGAGGTACTACAGGGCTCTACATGAGCCTCACGTAGATACAGCCGCCTCCCTCAACTGGCTATGTTTCGGTGACCTCTTCGGCGAAACCGTGGGTTTTGTCTGTGCAATACAGGATCAAGTTATTAAGACCAACAACTATCGGAGATACATCCTAAAGGATGGCAGTGTCGACGTCTGTCGAGCTTGTCGCCATCCCGGGGAGTCACTTAGGCATGTCATCTCCGGTTGTTCGGCGCTTTCTAACTCTGAGTACTTGCACAGGCACAACCTAGTAGCCAAAATTATACAGCAGGAGCTCGCTCTGAAATACGGTCTCGTGGACTGAAAATTGCCGTATTACAAGTACTTGACGGAAGCCGTGCTCGAAAATCACCGCGCCAGGCTCTACTGGTACCGGGCCATCATCACAGACAGGACTATTCTTGCGAATAAGCCTTATATTGTGCTGATGGACCGGGCACAATCAAGGATATTTTGGATCGACATTACCATTCCGTATGACGAGAACCTCGTGAAAGCCGAAACAGAGAAACGAACAAAATATCTGGACCTGGCTCACGAGGTGACCGACACGTGGAGTGGTATGCCGACCGAAATTATTCCTGTAGTCGTCTCTGCGAATGGGCTAATCCCAGTCAGCCTCTCAGATCATCTGAGGCGACTGGGACTCCGTGACGGACCGCTCCCGGCTCAAATGCAGAAGGCGGTGCTCCTGGATACCGCCCGCATCGTTCGCCGGTTTCTTTCCCTTTCCCCCTAACCCTCGGCCGTTTGATCTCCCCTGCCGAGGGCTCCCATCTGGTTGGATCTTATTTATTTATGTAGTTTTTGTATTTATTTTATTTTATTGATATTTATGTATATTTATCTTTTCATTTTAATTTATAATTATATATTTATAGAACCCAACCAGGTGAGAAAATTATATAGATACCCCAATAATAATAATAATAATGTTTATTTATTAACTATTACCCACTAAATTAAGAGTATTTATTGTGTTGATACACACAATAAATTATATTAATTTAGTGGGTTGATTCTACGATTGTTGCTTTAAGATTAATTATTGGGTTGATTAAGGCATCAAAAACCAAGGTCTTTGATGCATTCTCACGTTTACTTTTTGGGATACTAAAGTTTAATTTTCAGTTAAATTTACTAAGTGATTGAATATCAATTTACTAAGATTAACAGATAATGTTGTAAATGTGAAGTTTAACTTGACATTAATATTACTTTATTAATATAGGTAGACTTTCAGTCGTTAATTACGAGTAATTCCGAAGTCATTGCCTTGATTATTACAATTTTCAATTATTTTTAAATATATAGAAAATACATATACGAATAATACATCTGTAAAATGTGTTATTGATCATAAAATATCACGTCAAAATTGCTGCCCATAGGATAAATATAACGCTACAAATATAGAGCGCCGATTATCATCTTTTCTGAGAATTTCGTTATTACTGGTAATTTAACAGAAATAAAACGAATAAAAGACATGTTTATCGGATCGATGTCAAAGAATATCAATCGGATTGTCAATAAATTATGAAATATATACAACGGATTGTAGCCTAATATTAAAAAAATTTAGACTAGATTTTTTTAAAATATAATAAGGGTTACAAACGAACATACAGTTCAACTGATCATAAGGGGATTCTGTGGCCCATGGTCTCATAGCCCCATCATCTACATGTATCCTCCATTATAATTTAAAACCAGCTGTTACCCGCAGCTTCGCCCGCATGGTTATTGGGAAATGAATTATCCGTTGCTTTTTGAATTGAAAGAAACCTGAGTTTCATAGATTTGTCAGAGATGCAGCCATTAAAAGGAAACTGAGCAAAATTGATTCGTCAGCCTATTTAAATGTTTTGAAACGCAGTGTATAGGAATCATGAAAATAGCCTGTTTATTCCAAATGGAAAGTGGATATTGTTTTAATTAAAGGAAACTGAGCATAATTATGCGTCAGGGATGTAGAATTTTGAAAAGAAATTGAGCTAAATTGATTCGTCAGAGATGCAGTTTTCTGAATTGAAAGGAAACCGAGCCAAATAAAAGATCCGCCAGAAATGCAGCCTTTTGAGTTGAAAGGAAACTGAGCTTAATAGGTCCGTCAGAGGTGCAGTATTTGGAATTGAAAAGAAACCGAGGTAAATAGGAAGTTTTGAATTGAAAGGGAAGATCTGTGGGAATTCTGATTAATTGATTGTTGGAATTTTGGAAAAAAAAAACTAACTGAACACTATTTTAAGACACCACTGTACACAATGTTATATGTTTTTCCATTAAGGGAAAGAATGTGGAGATTCTGGTCATTTGACACATGCGAACATGCTACATACAGCTGACCATGAGAGAAGCACGGTTTTTCTAAGTTGACCCCCGCTACCTGTAACGTTTGCCCTTGCGCTTTATTAATTGTCATTGCAAAACTGATCTTAATAGGGAACTGCAACCTTTTGAATTGAAAAGGACGATCTGTGGGAATTATAGAGATCCGTGGTATAATAACATTTTCACCTTTTCCTACGCCTGTCAAAATTGTAGCACCGATTATGTTCCGTCCAAGATGTGTCACACGCAGCCTTGTCCCATTACATAACTAAAGATCATCTAAATTTCGCATTAGCATGACTGGGACGCCTAATTTTAATTGAAGCTTATGTGAGGGTACACCTGACAACTCTAGAGAATTTAGAAACTCTACGGGATATGAAGTGCTTTGTTCTGTGTCCATAACTGTGTCTACTGACAAATATTCTGTTATTTCTCCTGCTACTTCGCTTAATATATCTGAATTTATTTTGTTAACGCTCTCATTTTTTGGTGCAAGAATCGCCCTTTCACATAACTATTTGTCTTCATGCATGTTGTTCGTTAAATCGGAATAAACACTCGCAATTATTTCTAAATAACTCTGTACTAAATTACAAAAATCTCTCGTCAATTTAACGCAGCCCTCAGCATCGGTTTCCAACCGCCCATCGCCAATTTTTAATAGTGTGTCAGTATAGTTACCAGCATTGATATCATTATACAAATGCTCTCTCATATTCGTAGTTAAACTGAATTTTATCACCTTGTTCCATAAAATAGACGACTTAAGGCATACTTTAATTTCATCCGCAGGTGTGCCCTTTTGAACGACAGGTAAAGTTTGGCGAAAGTTACCAGCCAGTAAAATCCCCATTCCTCCCATTACATCGGTATTGCTGCGCAAATCCTGGAGCGTTCG